TACTTGCCTGGCTCAGGGCAGTTGCCTACACTCTGCGGTTGCATGTGTGAGGTGCTGTTTGTTGGTACACCCCCATCATCCTCAGACCTGTTTCTCCTGCACACACGGTGGGCTCAGCTGCCAGCCAGGTCCTATGACTCAGCAAAGGCCCCTCTGTGGGCTCTCAAATAGCAGACAAGGTGAATGTTGTTGATGTATCTATTTGTCTGTTTATTTATTTGTCTCTCTATGTAGTCCAGGATAGCCTGGAGCTTTAACTCTTTTTGCTTCCAGACTCCTAGATGATGGTGTGGCTTATAAATAAAGTTTTGTTTTGGGCCTAAGGTTCATTTATTTTTGACTTTCTGACGTGTTTGCTTGCATGTACATATATGCATCACCTGTGTGCCCGGTGTCCGCAGAGGTCAAAAGAGGGTGATGGATCCCCAGGAACTGGAGTTACAAATGATGTGAGCTGCCATGTGGGTGCTGGGTACGGCACCCAAGTCCTCTGCAAGAGTAGCCAGTGCTCTTAACCATTGAGCCGTCTCTTCAGCTCTGAATAAAACTCTTAGCCTGGCCGACCATGGATGATCTTGGGGTGCTCTTTGCTTCCACAAACCACCTGCAATGGCAGTTTGGCATCTGGAAGGACGGTGGTAACTCTGCCCACAGAGCCCACCAGCCTATGGCTGTCAAGGCAGGAGGCCTGGACCCAAGGGAGGGAAGAGAGTTGCTTCCTGTCCAGCTCCACCCCGACTTCTTGGGTGACTCCAAGCCAAGTTAGTCCCTTCTTTCTCTCCTCATTGTCATATAGAAAAGATAATACTTGTTCAGCAGTGGCTGGGAGAGGGTGGCTCTGCTGTGTTCTAGCTTTATGCTGGGCAGAGAAGGACTCTGCTCCAGAAGGACACAACATGAATACTGTGTCTACTGTGTACACTGTACAGCATGCATACTGTGTACACTTTACATCATGCATACTGTGTATACTGTACATCATGCATACTGTGTCTACTGTACATCATGCATACTGTGTCTGCTGTACAGCATGCATACTGTGTTTACTGTACACCATGCATACTGTGTATACTGTGGAGTTGGCCCTTCAGGCTCTGAGGCCAGAGTCAGCTGATCTCTTTGGTTCCTGACTGGCTCCAGGATTTAAGTGCCTACAGGCAATTGGTTTCTTTTCTTTTTTATTTATTTAATTAATTAATTAATTTGGGTTTTTGAGACAAGGTTTCTTTGTGTAGCTTTGGAGCCTATCCTGGCACTCGCTCTGTAGACCAGGCTGGCCTCGAACCTCCCTAGTACTGGGATTAAAGGCATGCATCACCAACGCCTGGCAGGCAACTGGTTTCTTGCCTGACACTGTTCACAGTTTACAGGCAGGGATGCCTCTGAGCCTGGAGCGTGGTTTACCTGTGAACTGCAGCAGAAGAAGGTCAAGGTTGCAGGCCTGGGCAGCCGCAGAGCCTGACCATGGATGGCTTCCCTGATGGTAGGACAGGCCTGCTCCCCTCCCTGCCCAGCAATGCACATCTACATGCAGTCAGCAGGCCGGCGTGGGCACTGGATGAGAGAAACTCAGGTCAGGACAGAGGTCAAGCTCATTGTCATCGGGTCAGAGAGCCTCTACCCTGCTCATCCTCACTTTACATCCCAGGATAGCCCCCAGCCCTTCATCAAAAGCCGAAACCTCCCCTCTGCCTCCTTGTCTCTATGCTTGCTGTGCTGGTTCCCTTTAGATGTTCCGCCAAGACTGTCTTGGTGGCTGCCTCCTGCTAGAAGTCCTCTTGGATCCACATTTGGAATAGCCTTCTACCTGGGCTGAGCTCAGACATGAATGCCCATATGCCCGTCATGAGCACAGACGAGGACATGGCATGGGAGTGCAGGACTCAGGCTGTGTGGTTGAGGAAGTGGTGAGGGTGTGTGACCACTGTGCTGCCCTCAGTGGGGCTCTTCAAGAGGAAGGCGTGCAATGAGGGTGGCCTCCTTCAACTCCAGAAAATGGTGATGCGTCTGCCCTTGGCCTGAACTTGCTCCCGACAGGGGAGGTTCTAGCCTGCGGCAGGCTGAGTGCAAGGCCTCTGTCTCCTTGACTTGGTGCTCCTGGTCACTCAGGTGGTGGGAAGCCATGGCTTTTCCAAATGGCTGGACTTCTGACATCTTGTTCCCAGACAGCAAGCGCCACCTGGTGGCTCCTGGCCCCATACACCCTGGTGTAAATGACATCACAAGGCCTTACTCAAGATCTGTTTCAAGTCAGGATGAAAAAGAGCAATCTCGCACATAGCCTGAGACCCAGGAAGTGCTCTTTTTGGTTCATTTTGTTCTGTTTTGTTTATTTTTAGAGATAGGGTTACTCAGAGATCGGCCAGCCTTTGCCTCCGGAGCGCTGGGATTAAAGGTGTGCGCCACCACCGCCACCAGGCTGGAAGTGCTCTTTTTTCCTCTGGTCACTTCTGATGTGTGGGATGAGAGTCACCTGAGGATTCTATCACTGTGGCCACAGTGCGTGCGTGTGCGCGTGTGTGTGTGTGTGTGCATGCGTGTGTGTGTGCTTGTGCGTGCGTGCGTGTGCGTGCGCGTGCGTGCCTCCATACCTGGCTCCTGCTCTGAGGCCATGCGTCCGTTGCTGGCATGCAGGGGCTTGCCCTCACCAGGTCTGCATTTTCTGTGGTTCCAGTGTGTGTGGGTCCAGGCTGGGATGAGGTCTGTGCAGGGAGACACTGGAGGACACTGCTTCATCGCCTTGTTTTTCTAGCCTCCCTTTTCTTCTCTGAGAATTGGGAGCCCAGCCCAAAGGATGTGTGGACGGCAGCTACAATCAGCCAGGTGGTGTCTCCTTCCCTTGTATTTGCACCACTGCCCCTGGGATCCCCATAGGCTCAGAACCTCAGACTGAGGTTCAGGGAGCTATGGCAGGCAGAACCCTCCCACACCAGAAGGTGGCCTTGTGCTTGGGCACATGGGTGTGGGGGGCCTGGAATTCATGCTAGCAATTCTCGCTGGCCATCAGCTTGAACTGGACTAGCCCCGCCTCAGGCTTACAGGAAGCCAGGGCAGGCACCCGAGGTGACATTTCCTGCTATTAATGGAGGTTAATCTAAACAGTCCCTAATATTTACCTCTGAACGCCTCCAGCTGCTCATCGGTGCCAGACAGGAAGAACAAGCAGTGTACAGCCAGCGTCTGTCCCTGCATCCCTGTCTCCTGTGAGCCTCCCTGGGCCGAGGCCAGACAGGCTGCTTGAGAGACAAAAGCTGGGTACCGAGGAGAACTTTCCCAAGCTAACCTCTGCAGACACTGTCCCCATCAATGAAGTAAGACTAGGATCTCCCTCCTCAGGCCAGAGAGAGAATGGCTTCTAGGCACTTAGTAGGCCCACAGATGGGCCAATGCTCCCCCTGCCTCCAGGTCACACCCTGAGGATCTGGTGAGACACTTGGGCGTCTAGCTGCTTGCCTACCTCTTTGTTCCTTCCTTAGGTGTGTCACAGGACAGTGAGAGGAGAGGGAGGGGCCACACAGGTCTCTTTAAGCTGGGTGACCCCACCAGCCCCCACCTGCCAGCTGGGAGCCGAGCTGGGCACAAGGAAAATAAACAGTGTTAATTCAGGGCGAGGACTTCAAGTGAAGGATGCTGTTTACATCGGATATAAATACACATTTCACGTCACTTGGGAGTTTTGAAAATCTGGGGAGGGAAGACACACTGGACACAGAAACCTCATAGCCTAGGCACCGCAGGCCTGAGCAGAGGCCCTTGGACAAACCCTTAGCTGCCGTGTCTCTGAAGTGGGGTGATAGTCTGTCCCCCAGGACCAGGTAGACCTGTCAGTTTCCTGGCCCTGCCCCTGGACCTCAGGAGGGCAAGACACCCTTGAGAATCCACTTCCCAGCTCCAAGGGGAGGAAGGGGAGTGGGGTGTGAGGAGACTGGGGTTCCAAAGCTGTGAGAGAGTTGTCAGAGTTCTCAGTGGTGGAAGGATGGTCCCAAGTCTGGCTCTTGACCACTCAGAAGGCTTGAATGGTGACAAGATCCTGCCTAGGCCTTCAAAATCCTTCGCCAAAGGCCCTGATAGCCCGAGAAGCATCCAGGGCCCTGAGGAACCCAGGTTGATGGTGTTATTTTAGACTTGGGCATGGCTCTGTTCGTCCGCTTTTGAGACTCCTTTCTTTCAGAAAGGACTGTCCCAGAACAGTTGCACCCTCTTTACCACCAAGCCTACTTATTCACTCTCTGGTGTGAATCAGAATGGCAACAAGAGGGAGCCAGGATGGGGGAGCTTTGCTAGGGTGAGAAGGGACAAAGGTCACGGATAGGCTGGAATGGCATGGACCAGTCGGTTTGGGGTGAGAGACTGGGGCCTATGCTAGACAAGGTTAGAGTGATGTTCATGTGAAGCTAACGGGCCAGCTACAGTTCTCTGTCCATCACTGACTTCCAGAGAGGCAGGCTTGGGCTTGTCTTTAAGTAGGTCATTGCCCTGCCTCAGCCCTCCTTTCCAATGCCAGCAACCCCTGCCTCTGTGAATCTCATAACACAGAAGGGAATCAGGGTTACAGAGACAGACTTGGGGTGCTGGGGTGGCAGTGGATGTGAATAGCCTACAGGAACTTGAGAGATCCCTTGGGATGGAGTCCGGAGTCTCTGGCCCTGTGTGACCAGGTGTTTGGGGAGGTGTCATGGCCACTCGATGGTGAAGCACGCCTTTAATCCCAGTACTCGGGAGTCAGAGGCAGGCCATTCTCTGAGTTCAAGGCCAGCCTGGTCTACACAGTGAGCTCCAGGACAGCCAGAGCTACATAGAGAAACCCAGTCTCAGAAAACAAAACATAACAAAGCAAAACAGTGCCATAATTTTGTCCCCTGCTTCTCAGGTACACAGACAGGAAGTAGACCTAGGCAGGGCCATAACCTACTGTCATTCTTGGTACGCCATTGATGTTGGACTTCAGGTCATCCCAGCCAAGAAATGAAATCCAGTGTCATACCACCTCAGTGGTCTCATGATGTTATGGATATTTAATTAGTAGTAGTGGGGACAAGGCTGGCCTCTGATTATCCAAGTCCTCTCCCCTCCCCATGACAGCCACTACCCCTTTGCTCCGAACCTCAGGTCATTGTTCATTTTTTGTTTTGTTGTGCTGTACTGGGAGTTGAATCCAAGGCACCATACATGTTGAGTTAGCAATTTAGCACTGAGCTATAGCCCAAGCCAGTACTCCTTGCTGAAAGGTGGGTCCCTAACTGGCTTTCTTGTTCTCACACAGACCCCCTGAGCTTGGGTACGTGTACCCCGTCTGAAGTCAGTTAGAAACTCTTTGCACCCCAATCCTGCTCCCAACTGTCACCTGTTCCCAGCCACTCAGGTCCCAGGAACATAGGCGACTTCTCAAGTAGACCACTGCACAACCTGGGCCCAGATCTCACCTCACCTGCTTCACAGACTAATGACCCAGAGCCTGCTCCTTTACCACAGATCCCTTCCCCAAACACAAGCAGCCTAGAACTTGAGAGAGGCAAGTAGGAGACGCCGTTGGAGTCCAGCTTGGAGACAGTGATGACAGGAGCATCTCCAAAGGAGCTCTGGCCCCCAGAAGGGTGAGCCTAGGAGACACAGAGGCCTTGGGTTGGTGGGCCTGAGAGTGAGTTGCTTTTTATCTTTATTCCTAGCATCTTCATCCATTGGATGGGACTGGGGCCTTGCAGAGCCTGGGGCAGCAGTTAGTGGGTTCAGGACCATTCCTGGGGCAGGGTCTGGGAGGTAGCCATGGAAGCAGGAGCTGGGATGCTGGAGGCTGTGAGACTGGGTCTTAGCTTTGACTCTACCGTTGTCCAGTGGTGGTGTATGTGTCACTCACCCCTTTGCATGAAAAAAAAGGGATAAAACTAGAACTAGCAAGCCGGGCGGTGGTGGTGCACGCCTTTAATCCCAGCACTTGGGAGGCAGAGGCAGGCGGATCTCTGGGAGTTTGAGCCCAGCCTGGTCTACCAAGTGAGTTCCAGGACAGTCTCCAAAAGCCACAGAGAAACCCTGTCTCAAAAAAACAAAACAAAACAAAACAAAAACCCAAAAACCAAAAAACAAAAAACCTAGCACTAGCTTCTTCTTTTGGGGTTGCAGTGGTTCAAGTGTCAACCAGGCCAACAGTGGGCCAATTTGTATTGCTCTGTTGGCCTGTGGTGTAGTTCAGATGCCAGTGGCACTCAAGGGGTGGTCTTGGTACCCTGTAGATAACAGTCCTGTTGCCAAAACATTGACTTTCTCTTCTTGTTTCTCCATCTGCCTGTGATGGGGACTCTGGTTGTGTTTAACCCTCCTGGAAGTCCTCAGAACATTAATCTTTGTGCTTTCTCTGGAGTAGCTTCTTCAGGGAACATAATAAAGGAGGCTAGGAGCAGCCCCGGCTACCTTTCTGAGTGTTCAGAGGACACCACACAGCTGTAGGAAAGGCAAGCATCCAGCATCCACACCATTACGCCCTAGCTAGAGCCCCTGGCAGACATTGCTACTCCATCACAGCACAGTGGTCTCAGTTTGTCAGTACAACCCAGTGGGCAGCCACAGCCAGTGGATCAATAGAAAGTGAACTTGTTGGCCAGCCCCAGGTTGTGTTTGGCTGGTAACCTCGCAGAGGCTTGACCCCTTGCTGGCCCTTGCAGAGCACCACTGCCTACGGTTCAGGCCCATTGGTCAGAGGCTGGGTGAGGGTGTGGGAGCCAGCGCTGAGGATTTGGTGGGGGCCCGAGTCCTTGGCACTCTTGTGCACACTAACCACATGCATGCTGCTGGGCTTGAATTCTTCTCCATGCTGGCGGCAGAGGCCTCGGACGGTGGCCTGGAAGCCGCTAGTGATGAAGCAGTAGACAATGGGGTCCATGCAGCTGTTGAGGCTGCTGAGGGTCACGGCCACGTGGTAAGCCACGAGGCTCGTGTGTTGTGGCGCCTTAGGCCATATTGTCACAGCCACCTGGCGGGCATGGAAGGGTGTGAAGCAGACCAGGAAGATGACAAGCACTGTGAGCAGCAGCTGCATGGCCCTCACGCGGCGCTGGCGGCCCTGGCGCAGCAGGCCCGGCCGAGACAGCGCGCACACGATGCGGCCCGTGAACACACTGATGACGAGCAGCGGCAGCAGGAACTCCAGGACAGTCAAAGCAAACACGCGGCAGCACGATCGCCCGCCAGCCTTCACGCCCAGTACGGACAGGGTCACGACGCCTGCTGCCAGCCACACGAAGACGCAGACAGCCTTGGCGCAGGCCGGCTGGCGCCAGCGACGGGAACCCTCGGGTTGCACAATGGCCAGGTAGCGGTCCACACAGATGCAGGTGAGGAAGAGGATGGAACAATGCATGTTGAGGAAGTAACCCAGGATATGAGGGAAAGCACAGCGCAGGCAGCCACGGGCGCCGTAGAAGACAGCAAAGCGCGTGGGCAGGGACAGGCCCACCAGCAGGTCGGTCACCACCAGGTTGATGGTGTAGATGACCGAAGGCGTCTTGGCCTGTGTGCGGCAGCAGAAGACATACAGGGCCAGTCCATTGAGCACCAGCCCGGCCAGGAAGATGGTGCCATGCACTACCATTAGTGCCAGCCACAGGTTGGGGAAGTCTCTGTGTAACTTCTCATCCATCAGGGCAAACTGGTGGAACAGGGGTGTCTCTGGCACACTCCCATTGGTCCATGCCGCGGCAGTGGCGTTGGGGAGCACAGCATCCCAGGGCCTCGTGGGGGATGCAGAGGGCATGGCCGGGGTCAGTGCACTCCTGAAAGCAAGCAGATGAGTCATCCCAGGCATCTGGCATCCCCCCAACCACGCTTCTGTCTGACCCATCTCTCTCCATTCCACCCAGACTCTGTGCTGAGTAAATGCTGCGGTTCCTGACACCATCCTTGCTGGACAGACAAACATTTGCATGGAGGGCTGTCCCCAGACTCCATGAGACTCCAGAGAAAAGAACACACAGGGCTGCTGCATGAGTTCAGGGGCGGCTCCTACATGTCCTGTCTGGGCCTCCTTAGGCAAGTCCTTTAGCTACCGTGTTTTCTGTTCTGCTCTCCGCCACTGGAATCCCATCGCCTCTGGGAGCATTGCAGGCATAGCTGGTGAATGATGAACCAGTTCTGCAGGGACACAGACTAGCTGGCCCCCGTGGGGACTAGAAGCTGCTTGCCTCTCCCCTACCCACACCCATTGTCAAGGCCCCGGTCCCTGATCTATTCTTACCTCCTCTCAGGCCAGCTCCAGATCACCACTCTGGACCTCCCCTGGAGAATGGGTGCTCAATAGGCTGTATGGGTGCTGAGAGCTGGAGCCAGGAGCAGGTTCCAGCAGAAGCCGCCTAGCTGCCTGGCCTCCGGTGTGAGTCAAATAAACACTGCACTCTGTGCAGGGTGGCGTGGGGCAGGCAGGGGGGCTGGGCCGGAGCTACCCGCTGTTTATGTTTCTGCCATAGTGTTTAACTCCACTCTGATTTATCCCTTTATTTAAAGAGGAAGGGTTAACAGGATCTCCGCTCCCCCCCCAAACCCCCAGCTGACTGACCCTCCAAATATGGACATATTTGGGGTTTTTCAGGAGAAAGGAGCCTCCGGGAAGAGGCCGGGAGGAGGGCGGCACATGAAGCATTGCTGGTGCCCACTGCCCCACCCCCCTGCAGGGCATAGGAAAACCCTCCCCAACCATAGGCAGGCTCCCTGCATCCTCCGTGTTAGCTGGCTGCTGTAAACAGCCAGGGTACTGTCCACAACCAGGGCCTGGCCACTTGGCCTCAGACAGCAGGTTCCCTCTGGCCATCCCAACCTAGAACTAGCCACAGAGTCTTGCCTCCCGGTAGATGGGAGGTGGGGATCCAATGTCTATCCGCGCAGAGCAGATTCCGCCTTGACTTTGATTGGTGTGGTCTGGCAGAGTTAGTGGCCTCCCTGTGGCCCTATGGTTCCAAGGCCCAAGGCAGGGAGCAGGAAAGGTATTCTATGGAGAGTGGGGGCCAGGACCTGGCACCTCAGGACTATGTTGTACCTTAGGATCAAGGACATAGAAGGTCCCCAAGAAGGGGATGGTAATGCTTGATGGGACCTCCCTTTATAATGAAGAAAATGCTAGAAGACCCCAGAGCTAGCAAGACAGATTACTTTCTATGGATTCTCCCCACGTTCTGTCTGCTCTGGCCTTGGGTGATTGTCACAATCAGAGACTTGCAATAAACATTACAGCGCTTCCTCTGGGAATCAGTCCCAGGGCGACACCAGCCTTCAGTGTCCTGCTTCCCCCGAATACTCCCCAGGGCCCTCTGTGATCAAGGTGCTGGGAAACAATGGCACGGTGGGGCTCTGGGGGTGTCCTGAGCCTTGGGAGAGCCGGAGCCGTGTTCAGACTACCCCAGAGTCTAGTCGGTGCGGAAGGATGGAGGGACACGCCGTGAAGCTCCTCTCCAAGAATCCTGACTCCTCACTTTGGATAACGCTGTTCCTTGATCTTCTGTCACAGTAAATCCTAAACCTTGTTCGCTGAGTCCTGCTCTCAGTAAGTCAATGAGTCTTGGTTCCTGTCACACTGTGAGACTGGAGCCTGCTCACACACTGAGCCCTGACCTCAGAAGAGGCCTCCATTCATGTAACACCCTGAGTCCAACCTTAGTCAAACACTGAGCTCTCCTGGGTGTGGTGGTTCACGCCTTTATTCCAGCACGCGGAGGTAAAGGCAGGCAGATCTCTGTGAGATGGAGGCCAGCCTGGTCTACAGAGTTCCAGGACAGCCAGAGCTACATAAAGAGACACTTTTTAAATTGTTTGTTTGTTTGTTTGCTTTTTGGTTTTTGGAGACAGGGTTTCTCTGTATTGTTCTGGAGGCTGTCTTGGAACTCTCTCTGATCTCTGATCCCTCTCTGATCCTGGATCCTGATTACACACCGAGACTTGATCACAGAGATACAATGAACCCTGATTCAATTATACTGTGTAAACTGAGTTTCGGCACCAGATGTGTAAACTGAGGGCTTGACTGCTCCATGGTATGGTTGAGGGGAAGGTTTTTATTGTAGATATGAGGGAGAGAGCAGCCAGAGGCATCCGGGAGAGTTCAGAGCAGAGAGAGAGAGAGAGTAGTAGACCGCACACTGCCAGCACACCGGACAGAGTCATGAGGGGAGAGACTGGGAGACCCAGAGAAAGGGGGCCCAGAGAGGAAGACAAGAAATAGCCGAAACAGTAGGGTCATAAGGGATTGAGAAGCTAGGAAAGGGAAGCCCATGAGCTGTAGAAGCTTAGCGTAGGGGTGGGGTGAGAAGAATTGAGAAGAGCCAGGGCCCTGTAACAGGTACTTCTGATTTCTGGGCGCCTAGAGGCCAGCATGAACTTTCGTATACTAATAGGCTCCACAGATATCTATTTGTCCTAAGGTTTTTTTTTCTCTTTCCCTTGAGACAGGGTTTCTCTGTGTACATACACAGATCTCCAAGCCCCTAAGCACAATAAGGCCAGTCTCTGTCATACCCTGGCCCAGTTACATCTTGAACCCTGACCCTGTATGTATGGTGCCTCCCTCCGAGACACACACATCTCTGTTGTACTTGGAGTGACAGATAGAACCCTGATCTCTGCCATTCTGCATTCGAGGAACACAAGTCTTGATCCTGTCATGTTCTGAACGTTGCCCTGGGTCACTTGGACCTTGGTCCAGGACAGAGCTACATACTGGTCCCTGAGTCCTGATCCCAGTGACACAGTGATCATGCCCCCCTCTAAGACCTGGCCTTGTTTGTTCACGGAGTTCTGGTTCTGCCCATAGCTGGGGCTCACACGGGCACGTTCTCCCTTCCTGCCTTTTCCCTCTGTTGAGTCACCTGCCTCTGTCTCCATTATGTCTTCCACACGGTACTCCCTCAAGTACTCCCCTAGTTCCAACTTCTCCTCACAGTGAAGTCCTCACTGCATCCTTAAGCTGTCACTCGCAGACCCCCCCATCCCAATGGAGAGGGTTGTGTATCCTGGGCAAGTCTGGAAGGGGAGGCACAGACAGACCTGGCCCTTGAGGGAGAGGGAAGCTGCAAGCAAGCAGGCCACAGAGACTTGTCAGAGTCTGACAGCCACACCATCCCTGAGGAAGGAGAAGGCTTCTGGTGGGGCCGCCACACCGCTTTACCCAGCCTTCACAGCCTTGGGGCCCCAAAACCTCCTGTGGGCCTCAGCAAAGAGTGAGCACGTGTGGTAGAGGCTGCTTGGCTCTGCCAACTTCTTCTCTTCCCTCCAGGTGGCCAGAGCCAGAACTCCCATGTCATAGCCAGTTGAGGCTTTGCTGGGGGCAGGCTGTGATGGGCCAGGTTCCCCAGGTCACATGCAAACAGACTTCGGAGGGGCTGTGCAGCCCCTTTTCCCTAGAGGCCCAAGACTGGCCCTTGGAAAAGGTTGGGGGTGTCCCTCTGATGTCAGGGCTCTTGCCTGCTGTAGGGAAACCTCTCTTGCAGGCATGATCCCTGCCTAGTTTCTGAGCATTCCCACAACGAGGCTTTTTGCTCCTCCCTCGGTGACTTGGCCACCTCTATACTGTGGCGTGGGGTACCTTCCCACCAGTCTGAGCATCCAGGGGCTGTGGGCTGTCGCAGCCCAGCACAGAACTGCCATCCTACTAAAGCCTGCAGGAAAAGCAAGGCTGGCTCCTTGCTCACTTTAGCAGACCCCCCAGTGTTGTACTAAGGGTGGAGCTGGGGGCTTGCTAGTGATTTTTGTCCCCTATCTGAACCCCCTTATCCACCCGCTGAGCAAGGCTGACACCTCTGCCAGGAAGCCCCCCTGCTGTCACCCAGATGGCTGGGTTTGCCCCCATCCCACCACACAACACTCCATGGGAATTGTCCGCTTTAAATGTGCTCTGTCTCCACCTAACCCTTGAGAGTCACTCCACCTTGCAGAACCAAGACTCTGGGGACCCAGTTCCAGTGGAAAGGCCTGGAAGCGTTGTGTGGCTCAGTGAGAAATGCCCACAGTGCGAACAAGAGAGCCGGACAGTTACATGAGCATGCTGAAGGATCCTGAGTGGCCTTGCCAGCCTTCCCAGGATTTCTCAGTGCTTTCAGGGACAGAGTGAACCTCTCCTCAAGCCACCTGACTCTGTTCCCTCCCTTGAGACCATGCTGATATACCATGCCCAGAACACTGATGGGGGTGGCTACCTCTGTCCTTCACAGCTCTGAGTTCTAGCCTAGGATTCCATATTGGGCATCAGAGGCCACGGCTACTTCTCTCCTTAATCTGCGAGTGGAGAGTGGCTTGTCTTGGCTTTTCCTTAGGCTCTGGCCAAACCCACCCTGAAGTTTGCATGTGACCAACAGCTGGTCCTCTGCAGGCTGGGTGCCCTGCCTGGTTCCACACAGGGCCAGGAAGGGGAAGGGTGGCCCTGGATCCTGCTCCACCTGACTTCCTGAGCCAGGCCTGGGAGTGGCCGGCGTTGAGGTACTGTCGGCCTTGGCTGGGAATGAGTATGAGTATTCCACAGCCACAAGGAGAGGCGAGCCATCTGCCCAGGGCCACACAGCATGGAAGCCATGGCCCTGAGGGCCCAAGAGCTATGCAGGGAGCAGGGGGCCTAGCTGCAGCAATTGGATGGTTCTTGGGGCTCTGAGGCCACGGGTGAATGTACACGTCTGTGAGGGCTTGGCCTGCAGCCCTGATGAAGACCCACATGGCCTTTTTTTTTTGAGACAAGGTTTCTCTGTGGCTTTGGAGGCTGCCCTGGAATTAGCTCTTGTAGACCAGGCTGGTCTTGAACTCACAGAGATCCACCTGCCTCTGCCTCCCGAGTGCTGGGATTAAAGGTGTGCGCCACCACCACCCGGCCCCACATGGCCTTTTAACAAGAGAGCCAAGACTGAGGAAGCACCTGCCTGCTTCTTTTTGGTCATGACTTTTGAGACAGACTTCGCACTCTAGACCAGGTTGAACTGGAACCTACCATTTAAGCAGAGGGTAGCCTTGAACTCACAGCGATCCTCCTCCCTTAGCTGTCCAAGTGCTTAGATTACATGTGTGAACTACTAGATCGAGCATCAACTGTGTTTGGCTGGCCTGAACTGCCCTTTGGTTCCTCCTGATTCAGTGCTGCATAATGAGGTGACCTACCCTGGGTCACCTGGTCCCTTCCTAAGACACTGCTAGGACATTAAGACCCCTCGTGCAGCTTTTCTGGGAGCAGAGTGCGCACTGCTGAGAATGGAACCTGAGTTGTAGCTTGATAACTTCCTTTAGCTGACTGAGTCCTTGTCTCTAGTGGGAATGCTACATGTTTCTGGGGGATCACTGACCATACTTAGGGGGTCCTGATGTTCCCAGGCATGTGTTCCTGCCATCCTGGTTCCTTGCTTGCCTCTAGCCTGGACAACTACAGCTTCACCAGCCTCCGACAGCCTGCTTTGCCAATTCAGCCTTTCTAGGGCCTGCTGGGATGTTCCAATGGGACAGCCTGGTGTGCACGGTCTTTGCACCTGCTGTTCTCCACCC